CGGGAGGCAGCCCACCTGCCCTGGAGGGAGCCACGGAGCTTGTCCAGCCTGACCTCCTCCTCGGGGCCGGCACCCAGGCGTGAGGACCACAGAGTGCTGCCCGTCCCTCCCGGGAGGCCTGGCAGAGGGGCAACCCTTCTTCTCAAGACACCATCCCCCGGCCCGACCTGAGCCAACAAACTGAGCCCGGATGATGCCCTGGGCCAGAAAGGAGGGAAGAGTCTCCCTCCCCCTCAGACCCATCGAGGAACCTGGGGTGGTTGGCAGAGTGTGCGATGGTCCGGGCAGGGGCATGAACTCAGGCAAAGGAGGCGGCGGAGAAGAAATACGTTTCCTGTGCATCCGGAAGAACCCATGGGGGGGTCTCCCTGCTGTGCCGCTGCAGCGTGAAGCTCACCGTCAGGCTTCCCGACAGGAAGGGGCGTGTCCCTGAGGCGGGTCTCAGGCTTCTCCCGTGTGGACTCTCTGGGGCCAAACAAGGTTCACACCTTTAAAGAATCTCTGGGTTCCGCCGTCGTGTTAAACTGACAACAGAGCAGCGGCTGACAAGGCGCCCGAAGTCACTGCGCACCCTAAGGTCATCGGGTGTGAAGTTTCCTGTGCTGGATGATGTGGGAGCTCTGGCTGAAGGATTTCCCACACTCCCCGCACTCGTAAGGCCGTTCTCCCGTGTGAACTCTCTGGTGCTGGATGAGGTTGGACTTTTGGCTGAAGGATTTCTCACACTCGTCGCACTTGTAAGGCCTGGCTCCGGTGTGGATCCTCCGGTGCTGGTTGAGCGTGGAGCTGTGGCTGAAAGATCGCCCACAGTCCCCGCACTCATAAGGCCGCTCCCCAGTGTGGATCCGCAGGTGCTGCACGAGCTTGCACTTGTAGCTGAAGGACTTCCCGCACTCGCTGCACTTGTACGGCCGCGCCCCGTTGTGGATCTTCTGGTGCTGGACCAGGTTGGAGCTCTGGCTGAAGGAGCTCCCGCACTCGCCACACTTGTACGGCCGGGCGCCCGTGTGCACGCGCTGGTGCTTGATGAGCGTGGAGCTGTAGCTGAAGGCCTTCCTACACTCCCCGCACTCGTACGGCTTCACCCGGTTGTGGATCTGCAGGTGCTGCACCAGCCGGAGCTTGTAGGTGAAGGCCTTCCCGCACTCGCTGCACTTGTAGGGCCGGGCCCCGGTGTGGAGCCTGTGGTGCTGGATGAGGTAGTAGCTTTGGCTGAAGGAGCGCCCGCACTCGTTGCACTCGTAGGACCTCACGGCCGAGCCAGGGGCCTGGCCGCCGGGGACCGCGGAGCTTTGCTGAAAGGGCTTCTCGCCGTCCTCACATTCATGGTGACTCTGAGGGGGAGGCTGCTGGTGCTGAAGGGGTTTGTACTCGTAGCCGAGTGGCTGCCCGTCGTCAGTGCCAGGGTAATGGCTCCCCCCGCGGTGCCAGGCCTCCCCAGCCCCGCACTGGAAGCTGCCGGGGGGCGGTGCCCCTCTGAGGGAGGCCTGGTGCTGCAGGAGACCCACCATGGCCAGGAAGTCCTCCCTGACGGCCCCACAGAAGGCGAAGGGCTTCCCCGACGTGTGGAACCTGCAGCTCGTCACACACGAGGCTGTGTCCACGGCGTCCACGGCGCTCCAGGGCGGCTTCCCGCGCAGGCCGGCCACGAGCCAGGGCTGCCTTCCGCAGGCCTCGCAGGCGCCCGGGAGCTCGGTCAGGCACAGCACGCCTCCCCCGACCAGGACACACTTCTCACAGGGCTGAGCGTCCTGAGTGGCTGGGTATGGGCTTGGCGTCGGGCCCGGGGATGTCCGGGCCACAGTCACACCCTGCACAGACGGCTCCTCCTCGTCCTCCTCCTCCTGCTCCTGCTCCTGCTCCTCCTCCTCTGCCGCCGCCTCCGCCTCCGCCTCGGCTCGGTACCAGCAACCTGGGGGCACAGAGAGGCTGCTGAGTGCACGCTGACCGCAGACGTGCGTGAGGGTCGCCCAAGAACTGAATGCAGTGGACAGTTTTCAGGTTGGTGAATGGGGCTGCTTTGTACCAAGGACTGGAGCTCGAAAAGCCCCAAGAATTAAGGGGGTCACCAAGTGACTCCTCTTCCTATGGCCTTCAGAGAGGAAGGGAGAGGGGGAGAGAGAAACATCCATGATGAGAGAGAACCAGTCAGCTGCCTCCCGTACGGCCCACACTGGAGACTGAGTCTGCCAACTGGGCACCCGCCCCGACCAGGAACCGAACTGTGACCTCCTGGTTCATGGGTCGATGTTCAACTGCTGCGCCAGCCAGAGGTGGTCTGAAAGGTGTGTGCGACCCTCGCAACATTACAGGTGAGAGGACAACAGGCCACAGAGGATCAGAGTCTGGGCAGAAAGAGGCCGAGAGAAATGTCCAGCAGGGGGATGGGCAGGCAGGCACGCGGTGGGGCCTGGGCACGCCCCCGCAATGCCCGCTGCTGCCATTCACCGTCACGCCCATCACGGGGCACCCAGGACGCTGCTCCCTGAACCCCAGGTGAATGGGGGTGGGGGGGCAAGGGGACAGAGCCCTCAGGCAGGAAGTGAGGAGCCAGCACTGAACGTAACAGACGGGAAACAACTAAATGCTGCACAGACGGGCAGGGGTTCTGTGAGAACGACCCTGGGACACAGCAGTGACGACCCGGACGGGCACAGACGGGGTCACGGGGAGAACGGCCTGGGAGTGATCCAGCCGGGGGGCCAGACAGAGAGGCAGGCCAGCTGAGGAGCACGTCTGGGCTGCAGGTCTGCAGTGAGTCTGCCGGGGCAGGGAGCTGGGGAAAGGTCTCGACACAAGCAGAGTAGTGCACCCTGGGGAGAGCAAGCCCGGTGGGGTCTCCCAGAGAACACGGGGTCAAGTGCCGCCAACACCAATGCAGCAACATGAACGCCGACTGCAACTGAGAAGGTGGAGCCCAGCTGGTGACCGAGCGTCAACCTGTGAACCAGGAGGTCAGGGTTTGATCCCCGGTCGGGGCACAGGCCCGGGAGGCGGGCTCCATCCCCAGTGGGGGGTGTGCTGGAGGCAGCCGATCCGTGATTCTCTCTCACCATTATGTCTCTCTTTCTCTCTCTTCCGCTCTGAAATCAGTAACAATATTTTTTAAAAGAGAAGATGAGTCTCACCCGTCACTGGGTGGGTGTGGGGACTCACCCAGCGAGGTCACCAGGGCAAAGTTCTCCAGCATCACGTCGTGGTAGAGGCATCGCTGCGTCTCGTCCAGGAGCCCCCACTCCTCCCAGGAGAAGTACAGGACCACGTCCTCAAAGCTCACGCGGCCCTGCCACGAGGTAGAGGTGAAGCTGCAAACCCCCTGCAGGCCCGGCAGCCCCTCTCCCCTCACACCTGCCCGACACCCGCTCAGAGGAATGCCAGGCCTCTCCCCAGGGGGCCCCCGTGCGCTCACCAGCACCCCAGCCAGGCGGCTCCCCAATACCCTCCTAGTGGGCCTCCACGCTACACCCCACGTGCCTGCAACCTTCACTTACGTCCCTAGTGCCTAGGACCGGGGGCCACTGCCTCACACACTCTCCACCTGCTCTTCTCTGACATGTCACCCCTCACATGGCTCAGCCCGGCTGGCGAGGCTCGGGGCTGAGTGTCCACCTGGGAGCCAGGCCAGGGCACAGTCCCAGGCTGCAGGCTGGATCCCTGTGTGGGGCCTACAGATCAGGGACTCTCTCTCGTCACTGATGCTCCTCTCTCTCCCTCTTCCTTCCGCTCTGAAGTCAGTAACGTACTGGGCACAACAGGACCTCGTACTGTAACAGACCACATGGCCCCTCACGCCCCCTGTGAAGGCCGTCCGCCTGGGGTCTCGCTTCCGTCTCAGGCGCCTCCAACATACCCAGGGTCCCCTCCTCCCGCAGTCAGACCTTCCCTTCTCTCATCCACCGGCCACGCCGATCCACTCTGTGCTGCGCCCACTGTAGGGTCCGAGCTGCCCAAGAGCCGCAGCCCTTGTCCTGACACCTGCCCCCCTCCTGCCGGGTGACTGTGCTGGGGCTAACGCAGCCCCCGTCACCCTGTGTCAGAGCCCAAGTCCAAGGACCCTGTGGCCAACGACAGTCACGCCCTGGGGTGTGGGGATGAAGGACTTTAGCCCGCACTCAGGGGACGTGGCTCAGCCCTCACCTCACAGATGAGCTCATCTGACAGCCTGGCTGACACACCGGCTCCGTGGACCCCCACAGAGCTCCGGACTAAGGAATGACCTCTAGGTCACCTGCTCCCACCACCCCGGCCTCTCCGCCTTCTGTCCACTCCTCCCCGGAAGCCTGGCACCTGGGACGTTCCTCCTCCCGCCCTCATCGGTGATTGACAGGCCGTCCCTCCAGCCGGGGCCCAGAAAGAGGCCCAGCCGGGCACTGACCTCTTCTTCCCAGCCTGTCGCTCA